TGATTCTGTTCATCAGTAAACTTTCTTTCCAAGCAACTTCCATGATTCTAGTGTCTTTTTCCCCACTTGGAACTGAACCCAGAAGGATGTTTCTTCCAACAATTGTATAAAAATTTGGAAAATAGTGCAGGAGATTAAATAATACTATGTAATGAGGTTTCTGAAAGCAATCCCAAAAGTAAAAAGATTTGAGATAACCAGTGGATCAATGAGTATGAATTCTTTACAACCAGATCTTTGCTATGAATCTCCCAATTTCAATAACCCAAAAATTCTTTTTCTAAGTTTATTTTTATGTTGAATAGTCATTTTCCAGAAATGATGATTTCTAAACAATTTTGCCAGTGTATATTTGGATAAAATGCTGCTAAAATTATTTGTAGTTCATGTAACTTGCAGATGCCCATCGCTTTTTACAAATATGTTGGTGGTCTGACCTCAAATCTGTCCACTTTAGTATAGTCTGCATATGGGCTAGATTTGATTTACTCGTTCAGCTGCACTCAGCATTCTTGGTAGGATGCAGACACTTGTTTGGAGAGTGTATAATTGGGGCAATGATACTGAAGTGCTTAACTATGTGGGCACTTATCTCCCCCTTCCCCCAATTAACTTGTAATTAGATGTCTGTCTCTTTCAGTTGAATCGTACCCTGAAGAAGATGGGCCAGAGACCTTGAAACTCTTCTTGCATCAGCTATTTGCCTGATTTGAAGAAGGCAAGCCTGGAAGAAAAATGAGCTAAGAATTCTGGAATTTTCTGTAATCTCTGCAATTTTTTACTTGGATAGCAGATGACTGTGCTCATGCAAAAAAAAAAAAAAACCTAAAAGGTCTAATTAAATAAATGTAATTTCTTCGTGTCTCTGGAGTTTGTTCATTTGTCCATTTGAGGGAGAAATAGCTAATCTGTGGCTCCTTTTGATATCTTAGTTTTAGGACCTGCCTACTTTCATTCTATAGGAAGTGTTTTTGAATAGCTGGCAGTGTGTTTGCCAGGACTCAATCACAGGTCTTCACCTCTATTTTGAAACGTGACCTGTATTAATGCTGATTTCGCAAAAATGTGAAGCGGCCCTTTCTCCTATAGTTTTAGAATGTAAAACCACAATGCCCTGCATTGTTAAAAGAAAGGAAAAGAGATCATGCTACATGTCCAAATGATTTCCGTGAGACTGTAGATTTAATCCCTCTAAGATTGAATGCCTCAGAGTATCTTCCAGATCTTTTATGATTTTTTTCTTTTAATTTAAGGCACTAGGACAGGAAAAGTGAAGTCTCTGAATCAGGCTCAGCTCTTGGTGACCTCGTGGATATGCCCAAGCATGACATTTGGCAATATTCATGTATCCTGTTGTGTTTTAATTGTGCAAAATCAGTCTACACCCAGTAGATGGTGAAGTTGACATCATATAGCACCTTTCTTATCATTTATGATTAAATTTCTCTCCCTTTTAAAAATTATATTGAAAAATACTGCAAATAAACCTGCAGTCTTTTTATATGAAACAAAAGAAATTATGACTACAGTCCCATGTAAATTGGAAATCATTCTCTTGAACTTGGTAATTTTAGAAAACATATTAGGATTGGGCTGCCCCAAAGGATATGTCTCTTTACTTACAGATTGGATCAAATGTTAGGGGATTTCAGTGTGTAACAAAGTACAGTTCATGTTACGGAACGCTTCTGACAGTAATAAAACAACATTGCTAAAAAATATCAGCAATTTATTCATGCCAGACTCCTTCCAACTTTCTTAGTGAGGGTAAGCGCATGAAATTAGGGCTGCCAATTTTTTCAATTGTACACTCAGTGTGAGCTAGTTAACACCTCTTGGGAAATGTTTGTTTCTTAGAAAAGGCATATGAGGAAGTGCTGAGTTCAAGTAAAACTGAAAATCTGCAAGCTCCTTTCCTATTACAAGTTCAATACAAAGTAACAAAACAAGCACACTTTACAATTTGAGAATCTGTGTGTTTTACTGTCTCTTCATTGTGCTTTGTTCTCATCCTCAATAGTTCTGTTTATATATTTTAGTTTCTATATTTTTACTAGAAAACAGATGAAAAACAATAATAGAAAAACAATAAATTTTTCATGTTCACTTTTGCTAAAACTAATTGGAGAAGAGGAAAAGCTAAAGCATTTCGTAAAAGTCCTTGTTGCAGGTGCTAATTATTAACAACACACAAATTTGAAAATTTTACATTTTTCAGAATTTTTGCAAATGTTATAATGAGTAGTTATAAAAAAAATTGTCAGTTGTTCATACAGGATCTAAAATGTACATTATAGGCTTCTGGTAGCATCCATGTGGTGCCTATAAGAGTACCCCCTCCTTTCTGTAACAATAATGAGTTGGAAAGGTAGAGCCATTCTTGCTAGAGATTCTATCAACAGAAAAACATAGTATTAACAGATTTTAGCAGCAGACAATGTGACAATTATAGGACTTGAGTATTTCCTAACTTCTAGCACTGGAGATAAATTCCTTGTGTGTCTAATCACACTTGGCAAACAAAACATTTATATTCTGTTCTGTTGTATTCTATTCATTCAATTTATGATAGAAAATGAAAAAAAAATATGCTTTGCAGTCTATTATAGCCACACATAAGACACATATCAAGTCTTAAGATTTCAGTAGAGCTTGTTTTGTCATAAATAGCATTGGAATGCACTGTTTTAATCATAACTATATTCTAGAACTATAAAACTATATTAAGATGCACATATTTCAATGGAATATGAAGCTTGCTGTTGACTTCTGGTAGAGGCATAGTGAGCTAAACAAATCTCCATGGAAATCTCCTGGTTCAAAATACATTTTTCAATCATTTCCAGCATTTTTGTCACTGATAGTACTTTTACAAATATATATTGTAGCATTGGGTATGGCATAATGGATAGAACCTTGAACTTAATTCAAGTCCCTACTCAGCCACAAACCTTTATGGGTGATTTTTGGCTAGCCTCTATTTTTCAGTCTGTTTTTAAAATAATATTGTTATAATCCCAAATTGCCTGTAGAATAAATGACTTGATATAATGTTATGAGCCCACTTTTATTAAAAGCTATTGGCCATGTACCACTTCAGAGAGATGAATCACTATTTGCATCAGACAATAGGACTACTAAATCCAAATTTCTGTCCCCATGGTGACCAACTAGATGGTGTTGAAAACTCATGAGGATAACAGCATTCTTCCCACCAATTAGTGTTAACAAGAACTTTGTCCTTTATGGAAGAGGAAAAAAAAAAGTTTAAAAAGTTAAAAGTTATTTTGATAAATATCTGCCAATAATTTGTCAAATCCTCTCAATTTCTGTAATTCATTTTCTGCACAGAATTTATCCTAGTGTCATGGTATTCTTCATTTTTCCCAGCTATTACCCCCTCCCCAGCTATTTTAGCATTTTATAGATCAATAGGTTCACTTCAAACAGCCAGAAGAATCTCCTCAGGCACTTTCTTGTTACGGAGATGGTTCCAGTGGCATTCTCAAATCTAGCCTAGGATTATCTTTTAGCAAGTGTGATCAAATATTACATGAAGCGGTCTTTGCACTTGCACCTGTTACCATTCCCTCCACAATTTCTGAGAACGCAAATATCACATGCTGCATATTGATACCTGCATCACACTTCTGTTAAGTGGCAAAAGGTGTGGGTGGGTTCACTTCATCACAGCTGACCTTCTGAAAAGACCTCCTGGCCAGTTGCTCATTGTAGCAAGAGGAAGGACAGGCTGTTTCAGGCTGTGCCTGGCACCAACTGAATCTAAAGGAATTCAAAGTATGCAGCCGCATCAACAGAGAGCCCGATTGTTGAAATGCTAGTGAAGTTTCTGTATAGCCACATTGTTTTTAAATCTCAGCTCCGGGCTCAACTGCCATAATAAATTCTGGGCTGATGTAGCTCAACCATAAAAACCCCTTCAGAACTCTTAATTAATGAAATCATGAAATAAAATGGGTGCTACAAGTGATTTGTTTCACATTTCTTGACAGGAAGATATTGCTTTACACTGACCAGATCCAGTTAAAGTTGATGCTGACCGAGCAAAACGATCTATCTGTATGACCTATCACAATTTAAGTTGGCTCCTTGACCCACTTATATCTAGTATTAATTTACTATGGTGATCAGTATTCTGGTCTTGGAGTCATGTCATGGAAGTGCCTAATGAAAAATGATTTTGTTCGAACAAGACGCCAAGCATACAGAATACTATAGTGATATATTTTTATGCACAATGTTGTTTGACATAAGATCCTGTAAATTTGATCAACGGCATATTCCCTTATAGACATGGCATATTTAAAAGTCTCAGTATGAGGATATAGGCATCAATCTACCTGTCAATGCCACTCTCTGTATACCAAGTTCTCTGATCTGATTTCATTAAAAATAAATAAATAAATGAGAAGCAAAGCAATAAATTCAAGCCTAATTTGTATTTTCAACAATTCCTCTAAGTCGTGCATAGTGTTCAGCAGCACTCATAAAGTGATAGACAACTTCAGCCTGATATGGAAGTGAGCCGACCTACTCAGAAAAAAGGCAACACCATAGAGTAGGTGGCTTATTATGAAGTAACCATATCAGTTTGCGTTCTGATGTTTTCTGATTAGCAGCCATTATGGTCGCCATCTTTTGAGAAATTCCTCATTAATCCGCTATTATTTTAACTTTAATTTGTTGAAAAATCTATAATGACTGGGTTCATATGGAATGGCTGACAAATGTAATGTATTTATATTACATGTTAAACCAAAGCCAATAAGACCTTCTATAAATTGACACTATGCAAAATCCTGACCTGTGCATAGCTAGATTCAAAATCAGTCAATAGATGGATGTGCCCGTGTTTTGTCACCTCTGTTTTAAAAATCTGGCATTTTGCTTGCCATTTCTAACCTATTACAGAAATTGTTTACCTTAATTTGCTTTGGAATGCTCTTGGCATCATGCAACTTTTGGAATCTCTGAGCCTCATCTTAAAATGATTATACCCTTCCCAATATTATTGTGCAGAATAAAATGCCTTTGAAAAGCTCCCTCTACCTTCTTTGCTAGCTTCAAGTAGCAATAGCACTTAAACTTATATAACACTTCACAGTGCTTTACAACCCTCTCTAAGCGGTTTTACAGTCAGCATATTGCCCCCAACAATCTGGGTCCTCATTTGACCGACCTCGGAAGGATGGAAGGCTGAGTCAACCTTGAGCCTTTGAGAATTGAACTGCCGAACTGCTGGCAATTGGCAGTCAGCAGAAGTAGCCTGCAGTACTGCATTCTAACTAATTTGCCACCATGGCTCTTAAGTCATGAGATTCAGAACCAGTTTAAAAGTATTTTACACAATGGATAGTTAAAATGATATTTGCTACGATAAGGTGCAATAAGAAACACCAACTTTGATGGCATTACAAATATGTGAGTTAGTTATTACTGCTTATTAGGCTTTTTGTCCATTTAGTACTACTGTAATAGTATACGTTAAATACCATATGCTAAAAAAACAGCAACTGACGTGGGAAATCACTTCCTGTCTGCATTGACAAACTTCCTGAATTCATTTGGTTGGCCACAATCTAATCCTGTGTACTGGACGAGACAGGCTGTTGGTTTAATCCAGTATGACTCTTTTTAATCTTGCTTTGAAAATAGTTGGCATTCAGCCAATTGAAAAAGCCCAAACAAGGATTGAAAAGCAGGTGGAGAAGGGCATGTGAAAAGGCTGTACAAAACTCTGCCTCACTTATTCTGAAGTCTGGTTTAGCTCACTTCAACAGGTTTGC